ATAATATTATTAACTTAAGCAGGTTCACTGCTTTTGTTTTGAGTTGTCTAATCGGAATGGTCTGGTATATCATGTCAATAGCTTTTCTAAGGTCTATGAACCCAACAATGATGTCTCCTTAACTATTCTCATGCCAGTTTAATATAATGTTTATAAGAGTCCCATGGAAGGCATATTTTGGTCAAAACTCCGATTTGCCGAGTTTTCTTTGATCTATAATGCACAAGTCTGTTTTAGAATACTGATTTTCAAGTAGGTTCCATATTTGTGAAGGTTAGGATATATGACAGTTACTTTGGAGACCACTGCCCAAATGCTACACTTGGGCCACTGTTAAGTCTGGTGGAAGGTAGCATTTGGTTAGACAATGGTTGTAACTGAAGGTTACCCATTCGTAAACAACTGCTGCAGCACAGGTTTCGTAAAACCTGATGTGTTTTATTTCTTAGTACTCTGGATCTTACAAAAGAAGTATGGGTCATGGTAGTCGTTAAAAAAAAAAAAAAAAAAATTCCTGAAAAAAGTATGTTAGAAGGAAGACTTTTCTACATAAAACGACGAAACTGGGGATGTCACACGAATAATTTTGTATTGTAACTTTTCACTGATCCGTAAATATAATTAGGGGGCTGCGTGGACTCGAGACATGGTTCCGCCTGGAGTGCTAAAGGACTCGGGTTCAAGCCCAGGTGAAGGCTGGGATTTCTTCACGTATATTTTTTTTACCTTTCCATGGTCTTTGGGTAGTAACACTGGACGCCCGTGTGTATTGTTTCGCACGTAAAAAATACCTTGGCAGTTTGAAATCGAAAAGAGGAGCCTAACGGCGCTGCCCGGTCAAAATCTGGTGCTAAAAGTCTACTAAAAGTATTTCAGGATCCTCGCCGGTGCAACAGAGTTCGTGCACTGCGCTGAGATTCTTCAGACTCACGCTTGAGTTAGAAAAAGAACGGAATACTTATGCGTTATACACGTGTGTGATGATGCTGATGCGTTGAATCAACAAACAGGAAATATAATTAAAGGTCAACGATTCGATGACATTGACACGAGTCCAACCAGCGGGACAACAGAATTGAGAATCATTACACAAAGTGCTAATCGAAGGCTCCTTTGACATGTTCAAGAACTCTAAAATAAGTTTGCCCAGTAAGAAGAGGGCTGATTTGAAGGTGGGAAAACCATTTGCTTGTAGGTCTACAATTTTCTGAAATTAAATTTAGCTCTAGGACACAGTTAGTATCCCTCTTATCTGTGTGTTTATGTGTTTTTGTGACATTGCTAAATGATCAAAACACGAAGGTGGAGTTTTGACAAACTCAATACATTTCGGGTAAATGTGTTTAGAAACGGCATTAGTCATCAATAAACATTGCAACAAATGGCAAGACATTGAAGTGGAAGAGCGTGCATCCAATGTTTTCAACTCCTCCTCAAGAGAATATTGACTATAGATAAACATTAGATCCTATGTATAAACAAAATGACAGACTAGATTTGCTTTTCGCTATGGAAAGACGCTTGCTAATCCACAATTTAAAGGCTCGTTCAAGGGTAGAAAACTACATAGAAAATCATTGACTGATTGTGTGTACCATTATAAACTACCTGCGAGTGTTCAGAACTCGTTACATATAGTCTGTTCTAGAGTAATGAAGGTAACGATAGTGCAATTTATGACCAAAATACACATAAAGGATGTAAATAGAATGTTCACATTATGTTTTAATGGTTTCGGTTAAACTTACAGTTATTCTAATCTTTTAAGAATGCGTAACATAAGAATAATTCTTCAAATATATGATAGATTTACATTAAATAATAAAATATCACTCAACTAGAAAGCATAAGGTAACAAACATCAGAATCAGAGGTAGCACTTCCTTATTGAAAGGGGGTGTTGGGGAGGGGTGGCAGCGGGCGCTGGTAGCTTTTGGCGCAGTTAGTGGAATATAATTTATTATAGAAGGTAACGGGCATGTTTATTAGAGGTTTGCACCTGTTTCAATGTTGTATGACATGCAGTGATTACTTCGTTTCGAAGCAGCAAAGAAATTATTAGCTACACAAGCAAGCTAGTTCACCCTTTTCATTAGCACTACATGAACTATTTTTCTTGGGTGGCGTATTACTAAACATGCACGTTACAACTTGCTTTCATAGAAAAGAGAAACCTCGTGTTCAACGATTGGTTAAGTGTTAGAATAGACAGTCTCTCCAGTAAGTCAGTGAAACTGAAGGAAACTGTGCATACCGGACAAAACAAAATGGCGGCTGCAATTTTCAACAGTCACTCAGGAAGCTGGGGTGACCATCACATGGATCAGACGGCAGAGAAACTAAAGGACTGGCAGGATGAATAAACATTCGTCCCCATTAATAAGCGACCCACCAACTCCTACTCAAGAGCATTGCATACTCTCTCTACACCAGACCTAGCTTTTCACTCACCAGACATGGGGTGGGATATTACCATCACTGCCGAAAAACAACTAGGAGGCAGTAACCACCGCCCGGTCTTTACAACGGTAGAAAAACAGTCTGCAAGGAAGAGCAGCACTATGCCAAGATGGAATTACAAGAAAGCAGACAGGAAATGGTATCATCACTGCACGTATGTTTTAGTTACAAATCTGAAATCGTATAACGATAAATGAACAAAGAAGACAAACAATAGATTGCACACTTTACTGCCTGTCATATTTCGCTGTATCTTGTCACGTGGTAACTACAGTAACAATTACATAAACGAAACAAACAAAGTGAATAATTTATAACCGAAGTACACATTAAACAACGAATACATATAGCTGCCTGTTTTACCAGGGCAGCCGCAATGTCAGAACCTTTTCTTTTTAAATACAGAGTTCAGGGCGCAGGTTACGAATCGCGGCAGCTTCAAGAAATCTTAGCGTTCGGTAACTGGCTGACGTGAGAAGGATTTGAAATGCGTTGTCCTTAATTATAATATGTCCAGATTTTAAAAGATGGCGTGCTATTGAGGAGGGATCATCTTCGCGGCCTGATTCTCATTTTGAACATTATTATGCATTGCTTTTCCCCCCACATACAGGAATATGCTCAGTGACTCATTTCTCCAGGCGTCGATCAGATCTGCCCACATAAGCAGCTTCACAGTTGCGTTTAAATTGGTAGACACAGTTTGATCTGGCATACGTCGACACTCGTTGTTTCACCGATGGCGTTGGCACGGGAGATCGTTTTAAACCTAGGCAAAGCAGAGTAGACAGTTTGACTGACTGCTGTTTTGAGCAGGCCATATAGACATTTCATAACGTCATCCCCTCGAAAGTTTTGATGGATGTAGAATTGTTGTTTGGGGACTGACGTTTATGTGGTAGCTGGTTTAGAAGGCCGACAGTGGTGCTTAATAAATCCAATTGGATATCCTCGTTGATAAAAATTCCATAAAAACACAAAAAATGATTTAATTTATGTTTTTTTTTTTTTTAATTCACGTCGTTATTGTTGTTTACATTCGAACAGAGCAAACATGTGGATTGGTCAGCTGTCAATTTTCAATTTTAGTCTGGTAGTCTGATTTTTCTTTCGCCACTACACCGCTGCCTTAGTCGGAATTTTCAGTTAAAGAAGTAATAATTATTTCAGAGCTCGGTGACTTTTTAGGCGGGTATTTTCGTGAATGTTCCCTTTTCTAACTGTTTCAATGCAGAATTTAATGAACTTCATGTAACAATACAGAATCAAATCGTTGGTAACGCTATGAGCCGAACGGTGCAGAAAATGTAGTAAAGTTCAGCAAATGCATATTGTAAGCAGTCCTTAAAGCAATACCAAGAAGTGCGCATAAACAATTTAAACTTTACTGGAATTGTCATCTAAAGCAACTGCCCAATGATATGGAATCAGACTTTTAAGTTTTCAAACTTTATGTTTTTTCGACGGATCAACGTTATGGCACATGGGTGTAACCCATAAGTACGCCATTCTACTACTAACTCAAGCCTGAGTCTAAATAACCCCAGCGCTGCGCACGAACTCCGTTGCACTGGCGAGGATCCTGAAATACTCTGAGCAGTTTTTTTTTAATCTGAATTTTGCCAGTACATGGATGTTAGGCTACTCTTTTTCGATTTCCAACTGCCGAGGTAGTTTTTACGCGCGCGACAATACACACGGGTCTTACTGCCCAAAGACTAGGGGAAATTACTAGAATTTTGTTTTACGTTAAGCTGTGGAGCTGTCGGTGAAAAGCATGGTGAACGATTTAACCATATAATGGTTTCTGAGGAAACGAGCTGACAGACCTGAAAGTGATGCTTACGTGGGAAACAGACCAACAATGGACAGGACTGACTGAACTACTGAATGCCCTCAGAGGGGCAGCTCGATTAAACGAATCAAGTACTGATTGTTCATCTATAACACTGACGAGAATACACGAACATAACATCAAGAGCAGTGAAGCCAAACAAGAGCGCTACTTAGGGGCCCATAGAAGAATAGTAAACCAACTCAGAACTGGTGTCATAAGCCACTACACGCTGTGGGAGATACTGAAGAGGGCATCTAAGCACTTATGGACACAATGTGTGATGATGATAATCTGGCAACTGGAGCCCTTCAGTGACTGTTGATTACCTTCGGACTGGGACAGGAGACACCTCATCGATTGATTGACTACAAACAGCAAGCAAAGAGAGCTTGAACAGTTGCTGAATAATGATGAAATAGGTTCAGATGTGGCTTTTTAAAACATTATATTTGCACTTCAAAATAATGTTTTCATCTTGCTTTTGTTTTTTTCAGTGTGTGTTGAAATATCAATATAGTGAGAATGTAAGCACACGCTCTATTGATCGAGCAGTATTTTTCAGGCATCTCGATACACTTCTCTACTCTGGCATTTACAACAAGATGGATTTGACGATAACATTAAAAAACAAATTTGTAAACTCATAACCATTTGCTGAGAAAATCAGTTTACACATTAACAGTGAGCATTGATTGCAACTTACAACTCTAAAAAAGGGTTGACCTGGCCTGAACACGGTAATGGCCATAAGACCAGCCCAGTTATCAGGTGCATTCCTGGGTACAAGTCCCTGGCCTAGAACAGTAGCTGTAAAATTGTCCTTGTTGGCTCGTGCTGAATTGTTGCAAGGTGATACTATTTTAGGATCCATGAGTTTTACTGTCCGACAAAATGTCTCTATAGTCAGGGATGTAAAAAAACAAAACAATAAATAGTGTTGGTGTAAAAGTATTACTGTGTCACACATTGTCAATTCGCTTTACGTATAAACTAGTTCATCTATATTAATAAATATGTTAATTTTCCGAGTTTGTTTAACTAAAAACTTGGAAACTACTGAACCGATTGCTTTCAAATTTTCTCACAACGTTGCCTCTGACTCAAAGCGTGATTTTTTTTTTTTTTTTTTTGTCAGAAAATAGCACAAACCATAAACGACGGATTGCCCGAACGAATTTTTGTTTTTTTTTTACTAGCCGCCTTCGACTGCTGAGATGAGCTGAGCTGCCAATAGACGCCTTTTCCCCAAGGATCAATCTCCGACATTTCTTTACCGATCGCTTTCAAATTTTTACACAACGGTGCCTTAGACTCCACGCGTGTTTGTATGTATGAGTTTTACATAAATCACGAACGACGTAGTTCCAGCAACGATCATTTTTTTTATTACGTTGCCAGGCCGCAGTTGTTTTTAGTTGATTGGCCACCTTTGACTGTGCAACACTGAACTTCACGTTATTATTATATACTTTCATTTCTACTAAATGCTTGAGTATTTGGTAGCATAGATGTAGGCATTCCGCATTTCAAGCTCTTGATCGGGATTCGATTCCCCGCTTAATGAACTTTTTTTTTTTTTTTTGAGGGGGCCCCTAACTGGGCGGCATCAACATTTTGTTGTGGTTTATAGCTAGGCTGCTATACTTATGCATTTTTTTGCTCGGTTTTTGGGTTTACAGCTAGCCAGCGATAGCGGTGAGTGATGCTCACTGGTCATGCCACGGGTAAAATTTGTTTTTCCTTGAGAGGGCGGTATGCACGTTGTGTTGTGGTTTACAGCTAGGCTGTGATTTCGGACCCAAACTCTTCAGTCTTAGGTAGTAAGGCGTTAGTATTCGGCCTTCACGAGGTTGACCGGTGTTCGATTACCCACTGGGTGCTAATTTTTCTTTTTTTCCCAAAAGGGCCGTTGGCACGCTGTGTTGTGGTTTACAGCTAGGCTGCGATATCTGCGCCTTTCGCCCAAAGACATCCGATTTCAGTAAAGTCACATTTATCCTTCCAAGAGGCTTCGCTCGATTATAAACTATTCGTTCATGACAGAAGCTGTTAATTAAGACGGTTTACAGTCCAGTTTACTTTGGGTGGACACTGATGCCAAGATAATTTAACATTCGTCCCTTCGGAGAGGGGGAGATGACGGGTGCGGGTTTTTAATTTCCGCTATTTGTGAGTATAAAACGGACTATTACTGTGGGTTCCATCACTGGTTAGGGGATAGTTTTCTTTGCTTTTTTTTTTGTTTGTTGGGAAATCAACTACACTAAACAGTCCTTGGCGACAGCATGCGGCGCTAACCAACCTGGCTACACCAACCTGCACAAACAATAGTGACTGTTTTTTTTTTTTGTGTGTGTGGGTTTTTTCTTAAAGGTGGTGGTGGTAGTAGTAGCAGTTGGTAGCAGTAGTACTGGTACTGAATGGGTGATGTGGTAGCTGTGACACTGGCAACATTTACTTCTCAGTATACGTTAAAACTACCCATTTTGTTCTGGGTGGACACGGATGCCAAGCTAAATTTAGTTACAATATTTCGTCAGATGATGACTTTCCCATCCTTCGGAGAGAATGATATGATTAGGGGGGGGGGGGGGGAATTTAATGACAGACACTGTTAACTTGGAGAGCTCAAAACATTATTTAAAAGTTCTCATTTCTTAACTATTTCCATTGTAATAAAATCGCTAGGTGATGATTTTTCATTCCTTCGGAGAGGGACATATTATTGGGTGGAAAGGGGGGGGGGTGGTTAAGCCAGACACTGTTAGCTGAGAGAGCTTAAAACATTATTTTCAATTTCTAATTTCCTAACTATTTCTATTTTAATAATTTCGCCAGGGATGCTTTTTTCAGTTCTTCAAAAAGGGAGACATAACTGGGTGGGGGAGAGAGGGAAGGGGGAGGATTATGACAGACACTGTTATCTGAGAGGTATTTTCTTTCTTTTCCATTTCGCTATTCTGGGCCACAGCAACGTGTGGACTGGCACAACTAGTTATTATATAGATATAATTGCTTTACGTTCTCTACAGCCTTTCTTTTGAACCGCAGCAAGAGAGTATCTGCTGGAAATAGTTATAGTAGCTCACTTTAACTGTTTACAAGTATACACAACCTGACGATGCGAATAATGGTTTCATTAGGCGGAACAATAAACGAGCATTGAAATTTGTTAGAGGCGATAAAGAATAGTCAACTGGTGTTTCTATCCTGCCCTGTCCTGATAGAAACTCTATGACAATGGCAATCGGTGGTACAGATCAAAAAACTACAAGTTATGTGTCCCTTTTACCTCCTACTTGCTCTCAGTCTGTGTGGAAAAGTCTCAGAGCCGTGCAATATATCCACATGACTACTAAAGGAATCTGCAGCTTCACTAAATTCCTTCCATGTATATACTAGCAAAAAAGACTTGAAGTACATTGTTTAGAACGAAACGAACAAATGCAGGATGAATTCTTGCATATAGACAAGAGAGAGAGAGAGAGAGAGAGAGAGAGAGAGAGAGAGAGAGAGAGAGAGAGAGAGAGAGAAGATTGGGGGGGGGGGGGGGGAAAGGGAGCAGATATCTAAAACGCTTTAGGCAATAGGAACACCGCAGCACCCCTCTCCTCAATCTGGAATGATCTATGTGTGCCTTCGCACTTTTCACTCGCTCCCATAGGGCCCTTACAACACAAAGCCTGCCATGCATCTATTCATAAAAAAGAGGGGCAAAACACGGTAGTCTATCTGCCTGTTCGTTTCCCAGCACACGGGCATGATCTGGAGAAAATATCCAAACGGATGCTAAATATCGCAGTTAATTATGAAAACATAAAAAAAGAAAACTCAGCTACCAGGGTATTGCCTTCTATAGAATGCCATTCCTTGAGGGTGCACATGGAGGCAGTTCAGCAACACGCCAAAAAGCGCTGAATGCGCCAATTAATATACCATCAAGCATGTAGCAACCAATGCCGCTCATTGTATACCAGTACTGCCTCGTTTTATAATCGATAATCGAACTCAAAGAGTCAGTTTATGAAGCAGAGTGTACAAAATGAAGCCAATCGGCGATCACAGGAAGCAACAGAGACAGTCTAAAAATGCTATCAGTGAGGTAATATCTTAGAGTAGCCGCAGAAGGGAAACACCCCCGCCATGAAGCAGCTGATGGCCACAGGGGGAACGGCTTGGAATGAGGGCCCCTGTCTAGGGTTCTAATCACGCTAAGCAGAAAATACAGCAGATTCGTGGCCTCTAAAAGTACTGGAGAGTTTGGAAAAATGCCATTCTGGTCATAAGACTCAGCCAAGGGAAAGTCACAACTGCACCTCCACGCAATAGAAGATGGTAAACACTGCGTTTGTCCAGCGCAGCTATGGGGACCGAGTATCCACCGGGATAAGCGGACCTCTGGAGTGCTCTCTACTGCTAGCAGGAACATCTAAAGCCAAGTGGATGTGGAAGGCAAGAAGAAACTGTACATTATTATCCCAAGAAATCATCATGAAAGCACAAAATGAAACTAAAAACTTTTATCGGTGAGGACTCCAGGCCAGGCAGATCACAAGCACAAAGATAGCGATGAAAAAGCAAGAAAAGGTAGTTTCGATGACGGCTTTAAACCCAAAGGTACTACGACAGAAAACGCTGTCACTGCTCTAAAGAAAACTCTATAGTTGGGAACAGGGGATGTTAGGAGCACGTATCAGGGAAAGCCTACCATCGCTGGCAGAGAATTTAAAAGAAACAAAATAGATACACCGCGAGGCAGAAGAGCTAGCGAGAGACCGAGTTTCTTTCCGATAAACAGTGACGAGAGCGATGTTCTGCAAAGCACCTGCCACATGATGACGATAATTCGTGTCACTTCCTGTCAAGGGCGTTATCTGTGCACATGGCTTATTGTAAAAAGAGGAGATGAAGTGTGGGGGAGGTACCAGCAAAAACAAAGAAATGTACCTTTGTTCAACATAGCGCTTGTTGTTAACAATCTACATATGCTGACCATATTGTTTTGATGGTTAAAAATTTAACTGAACTGCGATAAATGGCGGACATAATTGTAACAGAACGTCAAAACAAGGGTTTTAGTTTGAATTAAAGGAAAACAGAAGTAATGGTAATTACAAAGAAAATGAATCCTCAAATTAAAACAACATTACTAGGATAATCCTTAAACAAACTGATATATTTGCACAACATTGCCTCTGTCAAGAAAGTGAGGATGCCTTCCAAGGAAACAAAAAGATGGTGCTGTACCCTTTGCACTCCATGCTCTTTAGAAAAAAAAAAGGGGGGGGGGGGGGCAACAGACTAAAAAGGGGCAAATCATGGCTTGGTAGGGCAGAGGATGATATCAAGTCGGTCTGCAGTCTGACAGACATCCACTCTAATAAGGAATGGACAGCAGTGCCGCATGTGCTTAATTGCCCTTCTCTTGTGTCGTCATGCTTGTTAGGAGTTGTCGGGAGCAAACTCCCTTTACTCTTAACGCCGGGGTCTTCGCGCTTATCAGGGCAATTCAGACCAGACAGATGTGCTGATTTACACAGACGGGTCCGTTATTATGAGGACATAAGAGTGAAAGGAAATTTACACAATAAGGGCTGAATAGTCCAAGAGCCAGCGGTGCCTTTTCCATGACTACCAGCAGTTTGACGATGGGGATGATGGCGGTAACACAAGCTTTTATGTGGCTAGAATCACTGGACTATTCGAGGTTATGTGCTAAGTGATTCTATAAGGATGATCTGGTGAGTCGACAAAGGCTCCATTCGCAGACATTGGATTGAGTCTGCTAAAAATACGAGAACTGTGAGCAAAGATCAAACCAACGTAAAGCTGCAGTGACCTCCTCCATTCTTAAGCTGGATGTTGTGGTATCATTTGCTAGGCTTTCCTGAACCAGACGTCGAACATTACCTTTTGCTAAGAAACCCCAAGCACTTCTTTTGCCATTTTGATACTGAACCGTCTGTGTAAATGATCAAATCCTCTGAGCTAGCATTATCCGTGGCACCTGCTGGCCAGTCTCTGCATTCCCGGCTCAGTCTGATTGTGACTCTATACAAGTCTGACTGTACAGGTGGCACAATGACCCATTCCTCTCCTCGCCTAATGTTCTCAAGGGTGCAAACCTGTCTGATTGTGTCTTCTGCCTGAGCCATCCATGACTTCCCTTCTGATCAGCCGCTGACTCTTAACTGCACCCAGACCCTCGCGCAAAGGGCGGTCTGTGTCTGAGATATGACTTCAACTGCAGCACCTTGTGCCTACCTGCAACAGTCAGCAAACTAAGTATGTATCGCATACGCACCACTGGGGTGTCTCTGGTGCAACCCAGATAGACCCGCATAGCTGCGTTCTGTATGCTCTCTAGTTTACCCATCTAACTCTTTGAGACCGTAAGCAGTACATGGCCATAATCAACCACTGACAGGATCAGGTGCTGATATAGTGTGAAAAGCATTCTCTGCTTTATGTCAGTTGCAGCCTTAGTATTGATTGCACTGAGTACTTTTTGGCATCTTGACACAACACTCTCCACTTGGTCCTAAATTGGCAGGCTCCTGTCAAATTTAATTCCCAGATACTTCAACTCTCTCTCGCTCCATCCTCTCTCTCTTTCTCTCTTATCTCCCCTCTCTGCCGTTTCTCTATCATATCTCGAGATACTGTTGACATTAACTGTTAAGATCCTGTTGTCCCAGAGACACCACAGAACAGACGTCTTTTCCGAAAAGTGGACGTTCTCTTGTAGTTCCCGGGCTGTTTGTTCCCTATTTTTCCCATGCCTATATGCAAGTATATCATCCTCAAAAGTCTGTATCCTCCCAACTTCTGGTGCTTCTAGGCTTGCAGTCTTGCTCGTTTACACGTTAAAGAGCTCCGGCGAGAGGACGGATCCCTGTGGCAGTCCTGGGGCCAAACAGCACGGTTCTGAGTTCCATGAGCCCCGGCGGAGAGCAACCAGACGTGAATACAGGACAGCTGCAACCCAATTCACCAGCCATGGACTGACCTCCTTCTCCCTCAGTGCAGTCATCAAGATGTCGTATCTTACTTTGTTATAAGCATCGTCGAGATCCAGTGCAACCGCTATAGTTTCCTGTCTGTTCTGGAACCTTTATAGACGTCAAAAGCAAAAGTGGCCGCATTTTCCCATGTGTCATTTCCTGGCCTGTAGCTTCCCAGACCTCTTGGAAGAAGCTTCTCCGTTTCCAAAAATTCTTGCAGCTTTACATCAAATATCTTCTCCAAGAACTTCCCAAATGTGTTTTGCAAGGTGATGATTCTAAAGAGCTTAACTTAGCTTTAAATTATCCTTCAAAGACTGTGGTAGCGGGATTAGATAGCTATGCACCAAGTCATGCGGTACTGATGAGCTGTCTAAATTCTCTGGTTAAAACAGTCGGCCATCTCTGCTAGGTCTACATCGCTCAAAGCCTTTACGTGGCCATACGTGACCCCATCAGGCCCTGGTGAAGTGTCTTTTACATATTTTTTTCAAAATTTGTTTGTATCTTCTACTTGTATCATGTCTTCATAATGCATATTCTTTAAGGTGCCAGCTATCACTTATCTAACTGCATCCCTGATGTCTACATGACTATGATCTGACTGAGCTATAAACGTATGGACAAAAGCCGCCCCTTTCTCCTGGTCTGTTGCCATACGCACACCATCGTTTCTACAAATTGTCCCCACTGTCATAGGCCGATCTGTGCAAATTAGTAGAACACCTGCCCCACTACACATACAGCTGAATAGTTCTGCCTCTCAATCAAATAAGGGAGTTAAAATATCTAGGAAGTATGATAACAGAAGATGGTAAGTCAGTACTGTTTGTGCAGGTCGTTGTAGCCAGAGGAGTTTGAAAAAAAAGTACACTATACTCACAAATACCGTAAATAAAAACCCGCACCCGTCATCTCTTCCCCTCCGAAGGGACGAATTTTAATTAACCTTGGCATCTGTGTCGACCCAAACCAAACTGGACGCTAAGCCGACTTAGTTAACAGTCAGTTTCTGTCATCAATGAATAGTTTTTGATCGAGTGAAGCGTCAGAGGGAGGCTAACTGAAATCTGATGTCCTTGGACGTAAGGCGATGATATCGCAACCTAGCTGTAAACCACAACACAACATGCTAACGGCCCCTTAAGGGAATAAGAAAAATTAGCACCCATCGGGGAATCGAACACCGATCACCCGCGTGAAGGGCGGTATACTTACAACTATACTTAGACAGAGAAATAGAAACCAGATTTCAGAAAGCAAGTGCACTTCTGTTCCAAACATTTCTGTACAGTCTGCCAACTAAGTAAAAACTAACTAACTAGCTAGCTAGCTAGCCAACTAACTAACTAGCTAATGTAACCAACCAACTAGCAAAATGACTAACTGACTAACTAACTAACTAATTATCTAAATAATTATATACGTCACAAAAAGCATTAAAACAGGGTATAAGGAATTTGCTTTACCTGAAGCAACTGTCAACGCATAAAGAACTTGAATCACAATCCGCATGTTACCTTATACTCAGCTAACGCCTAGGCAACTGTTTACTCGCCTCACGAGTCTGAAAAATGTTTGAAGATATATATAATAAGATTTAATTATTTAAAATAAATTCCATGTCTAGTTTAAGTTTTACCTTTAATATAAATAAAGCAGCACTCCAGTTATACATTTGAATGCACACATAGACTCAGCTAGCATTACTTTAGTTCATATAGCTATATACACATGGACTCACTCAGCATCAATGTAGTTTGTATAGTTATTTACACGTGGACACATCAGCATCACTTTAGTTTATAAAGCTATATGAAAACATTGACCCACTTAGCATCACTTTTGATTGTATGGTTCCATGCACACGCCGATTCTCTCAGCATCACTTTCGTTTATACATTTCTGTGCAAACACTTACTCACTCAGCAATACTTTAGTTTATACATTTCTATGCACACACGGTCTTTTTTAGCATTACTTCATACATTTCTATGCACACATGGACTCACTTAGCAATATTTTAGTTTATACATTTATATGCACACACAAACTCACTCAGCATTACTTTATACATTTCTGTGCACACACGGTCACGCGCAGCATTACTTTATACATTTCTTTTCAGACACGGACTCACGTAGCGTCACTTTATACATGTCTATGCACACATGGACTCACGCAGCATTACTTTATACATGTATATGCACACATGGACTCACATAGCGTCACTTTATACATGTATATGCACACACTGACTCACTCAGCATCATTTTCTTCATGCCTATTCACACACGGGCTCGCCCAGCATATCTTTAGCCTATATAGTTCCGTGAACAAATGGACTCACTCAGCATCATTTTATACATGTCTATGCACACACGGACTCACTCAGCATTACTTTATACATGTCTATACACATGCAGACTCGTTCAGCATAACTTTAGTTTATATAGTTCCGTACACACACGGACTCACTCAGCATCACTTTATACATGTCTGTGCACACACGGATCGTAATCGTGAAACCAAACAAAATGTAAAATAGTGTCCTCTTTCAGCTGTCCGACGGCCTGCTTTACTGAAGACGGTTCCTTTGTTATCTGTTTGAATTCGATTCTGTGTGGCGATCATTTTCGCCTAAGTTAGATTATTTGCTGCTGCATCTTGTCTGCTCGGTCAGGCTTCGCGGGCGTATTCCAGTTTTTTGTTGTTGTTGAGTGGATTTGGCAGCCTTAAAAAAGAGCTGCATTTTTGCCTGGGGCGGCCTGGAACGGGAATGGATGTGGTCTTATTGTGGCTCTATCTGCTATCGGGTTCGGCCAACGTTTGGTGAGCTGTCCGTAAAGATGGCGGCGTAGTTAGTATGCTCTCTCTGGTGGCTACGCAGTCTGTCCTCTGCCGCTTTCTGTGCTGTTAAGGGTCATTTTAAGCGGGTATGTGGTTCAAAACTGGCGATACCCTCTCCTTTGGCCGTGCCACGTTTTCTTTGGTTTCTTCTTGTCTCGCGCAGTAGAGCAAGGGCTTCGTTGAGCTCATCGTAAAGTTTATTATAATTCCGTTTTCTTTCAATTTCTTCGGGTAGCGAGTCCTGATTGTCGAACTGCTCCCAGTCGTAGTTGATCGTTAGCGACCCTTTTCCATTTCGAAGGTGAAACTGTTTGTTAGAGCTATGCAAAGTCGGCCTCGGTGATTTCTCTAACGGTTACCATTACTTTGTATTTCTCACTGGTTTTGGCTTCATCTGCAGTTTCAATCGTGACGTGGTTTTCGTGTTGAGTAGACGCCTGTCTGATGGCCTTCATTTTGGCACCCTCTTTCTCCTCGTTTATGTTTCTTGTCTGAGTCACTTCTGTTTGCAGCTTCTGGGTGGACTCCTTGCATAGTGTCACCTCGGCCGAGAGTAGTAGCTGGCTTTTTCTGAGTTCTTGATATCTGCTCTGATCGTCTTCGGTTGACTAAATTTTTTAGGACTGGATGCAGGAAAGCACGGCCTTAACATCTCTGGAATTGAGTCATGTTGGTGACCTCGGCCTCCAAGCTTTCCTGGGTGTTGAGTGTTTCTTTAATTAGGCTTCGTAGTCCTGTCATCTCCTCTCTTTCTTCGGTGCGCTTGACTTCAGATGCTGCCTTTTCCTTTCTAAGGGACACAATCTCCGCTCTCAGTTGTGCAATCTCGTTCTGTAGCTTAGTCGTGTCTGCTGCGGCGACTAGAGGTCGGGCTATTCTGGGCACCTTGAACCTCTTTTTGTCTTCTGTTGGAGCGATCCTGGTGACCGCAGTGGTCATTCCTCTCTTGATCCCCTTCAGGTACGGGCATCCAAGGTACCCAGCGCTGTGTCCCTATCGCATAACAGTATCTACTCCCTTGCCACAATAAACTTGCCCACAGTCTGGACACCACCATACTCATTGGTGTATCGATAATCTCGGATAGTCCGTCCATAGATGTATAGTTCGTTTCTTGTTGGGGAGTCCAGCTGTGAAAAACATATATAAATCACTCCTGAATTATTTCTTTTTAGCTTATAATGTCAATATGTACAACACGATTCGTGTTATTCTTAATAATTTGACCGCTTGACTGAAAAGCTTGAGCCATATCCTTGTCCAGCGGCTGTAGTCAAGGACTAGTAGTTCATACGTTACTACTTCCCAGTCCGTTCAAGTGGATAGATCTGTTTCAGCACTGTGGTTAAATTGAATCTGTGATCACAAATAATATTAGTCTGCATTGGTGAGTTTTCCTTAAAAGGAAATGTATATATATATATGCTGAGTGCCTGTATGTGTTTGCGAGAAAAGGTAACAAGGATGATAAACGCGAATCTCTCTGTCTACGATCAGTTTCGACGTAAAATTGTAGAAACGCTGGAGGGAATGAACTTTCGGCTGAAAGTTCTACGTAAATTCTTCAAGCCTATGTTCTAAACGTATTCGGATCGATCAATCCACCTGTCTGGAGTGTAATTAATGTCTTGAGAATTTTGTATAATCTGATTTTTTAATTGGTCTCTTAACTTGATGAGTTGGTTGACTGTTGAGAAGGGGCAGCTCTATATTTGGAAAACATCCGCCGTTGCTAGGGGCGACTGTAACCAAAACAAGCTCAGCGTTTGGAAAAGGTTTTGGGAGTCTATTCTCCTATCTTGTCTTTAATATCCATCTCATCTACTTTATCTTTCCAACTGGTGATACAGAGGGATGGGGACTGATTGAGATCTGACTGGCTTTCGCTAAGAAACAGCATTCAGAAACTGTTGGAGTCAATAGAAACGTCGGACTAGCTCTTGTGTTCACTCTGAGGAACTATAGGGGCTTCCGTGATGTATAAACTCAACCTTCATGGTATAGACTAGCCCACATTTACCTCTGAGCATTTATGGAGAGCCTGATGAGTGTGATTAGCAGGGTACATTAGGTGAGGTTTGCTCATGTGTTTTGCATTGTTGATTACAGGATGTTTGAAAATCCAGCGAATGTCCGAGCAGTTGTCTTGTTCTCCAGCCAGTATTGACGTGGCATTGTCTTCAACAGTAGGACATTTGTGATGTCGACGCCAGCAAGTCTCTGAGAAATTTCGGTAGTTTTTTCCACTGGTCGCGGAGAGAAGAATTTTCATACAGAGTCATTCCGTGAATTGGGGAGTCGCAGAGAGTCACCATTCGGAATACAGAGGAGCTGCAAGATCCGGCGCAGATAAGTTGTTAGCGCTAAGGCATACATACCATAGCAGCCAAACCCAGAATGCGCATAAACAACACTTCACTCTCTAGTCGATTATGAACCCGGAAATGGAAGAGGTTGTCGAGGGAAAAAAGTTCTCTAATCCTAAATCTTTTGAGAACATTATGATCTATCGTTCAGTTTCTCTTTGATCTATAATTCGTCTTCCTTTACCACCGGGAATTTATTACATTATGTTTCTTGTTCACAAGATTTCTTTTTCTTGAAAGAGAGTTGTCTTGACGGTGTATTCCTGTCTTGTCAGATCTACTGTTGTTTATATATTTGACTGTGTTAACATTACTTACCAGTCTGGGAGCAAAATTAGTAATAAAGATGTCTGGCCGAGTTGCACCCAAGAGTTGGTATTAACTCTGTGGAGTCAGAGCTCGAGTCACCTGATTCCTGAGATAGGCTGAATGTAAGTTTGAACCGAGGATTTGGCCTCTAGACAAACGAGAGCCAACATTCAGAATATCCTATTTCAGAGAACCTGAGAATTTGGAAAAAAAAGGTACGCGACGAAACTACCACACGACAGTCCCTCTGAGCGATTTGAGCACTTTCTACTGGGGTTAGGCTTCCTGAAGTCTGGATTAACTTTCGCCAGGGGGCTCTCCTTCAAGTCATGTGGGCCAGAGCAGAAGCGATACTATGGGCTGCGGTGGCAGGTTGCGGCAGTGTGCCACGCTCTGTTGCACTCACGGACTCACTCAGCATCACTTTATACATATATATGCACACATGGACTCACTCAGCATCGCTTTATACATGCCTATACACACACGAACGCGCTCAGCATATCTTTAGTTTATACTAGATGTACCCGGAAACGCGTTGCTGTGGCCCAGAATGGTAAACTGGAAAAGAAAGAAAATAGAAAGTGCACCTGTCTTATATGGTTTATATCAATCATTGCACAGCTACAGAGATAGTCTGATATGCTGACTCTAGAACACGCAACATATAAGTGAATGTCGATATTAGTGGTCGAATAAAGTGCAATGTTAGAGAAAGAAAAAACAGATTATTTGTTTATCGCAGGCTAAAGCATCTTTTTTTGCTTAAACAGGTGAAGTAAAGCTGACTGCCATACCTATATCTGACCAACAAACTGGCACACACACACACACACACACACACACACACACAAAGAAAAGCCGAGGAAGCAGTTTAAAATATAGATATTTAAGAAATGAGTACTCTAAAATAAAGTTATAAGCTCTCTGAGCTAGCTGTGTCTGTCATAACCCCCCTCCCCCACCCCTCTTCCCCTTCCCCAATTATAT